TAGTAACTATTATTTGATTCTTTGGCACAAATATTACATGTCTGCTAATGTATAAAATGAGTACTTTTCTATTTTAATTATAGATTCTCTAAAATAATATCCTTTCTCTTTGGAAGCAGAGATTTGGCATTTGGGGCATTTTCTTTTCTAAGTAAAAACTGAGTTAGTGCATTTTAATTTGTTTTTCTCCTCCACCCTTCTTTCTCCTATTTTTTCCCCTTTTCTCCTATTAAGATTCCCTTCAAGGAATGTTCATGGCATCATTATTTCTAATAGTGAAAACTAGAAACAGACCATTAGTGAAAGATTAGTGAATACATAATGGTATGAAGTAGACTTCTCTGAAAAAATAAAAACAAAAACAGGGTTCTTTGGAGACATAATCGATTCCAGGGATTGGAGAAAAACATAAGATTAATGGGAATATCTTGTGGTGCTAGAAAGTAAGAAAGTGCTAAAAAATGATGGAAGCATACAAAAAGACACAGTAGCCAATGCCAAAGAGCCCCCGACGGCCAAATTTAGGATGTTGTGTGCATATGGCTAGGCCTGAAGCTAATAGGAAATGTTAGCAAATTATATTTTTACAAAAACACTTTTTATTAAAAAAAACACTTTTTATTCAAGTTAATTAATTATGTTTCTGAATGACTATAGTCCTTTTTATAGACTACTGGAAATTGCCCAATCATTTGCAACTAAAATAAGATATGACCACATATGCATTGTGACCATATTTTCTACAACAAAATGTGAGTGCACCTTGTTGGGGTAGTTTAACAAAATGTTTGAAATTAGAATGGTTTAAAATAATCTAGGCTATATGGTTGATATATATATGCACATAAATGTGTCTATACACATATTTTGTATGTGTGTGTACACACACAGCCACACTCAGCCACACTTCTTCCGTTCAGTCTAAGCTGGCAGTTCCTCATTTGGTCACTAGGTGGCACTTGGCCAGTGTCAGGCAAGAGTAAAAGGAAACTGATGAGCGCTAGGATAAAAGGCCAAAGAGGAACTTGGTCAGTATTCACTCAGAATCTCGATGGGGAGTTCCCTGGGGCCCATTGAAAGAGTTCATTTGGCTGACCTTTTCTTTACTCCTGGACTTGAGGTGTTTGGGAATTAAATGATTCTGAGATTTGGGCTATTTTCAGTACAGACATGGCAGGTCAGTCCTAAGAGAGTGCTGTACCTGAGTCATAGCTCTGGTCCCCCTACAGACAGAACCAGGAGAGGGTGAGCCCAGTCCTTCACTGAATCCCAGGCCCAGCTTGGGATTCAGGGCAAAGTGAGAGTGTTGAATGCATGGGTACACATCTTTGTTCTTTGAAAATAGTTTAGAGGAGAAACCACTGTGTTCTAGAAATTGTCAGTGCCACGCATTTGAGCACCTCGGGCAGCAGGTGAACAGTGGCTGCTTCTGCTGCTGGAAGTGTTCTCTGGCACTGCCTTACCGCGGATGTACGTTCATGCCTTCTGCTGGTGCCATTAGATCTTGCAAACAAAAGGATTTTGTCATGCTGTGCTCCAAGAAAGCTTTTCTCTAAGACCTTAGATACTCCTGTTGAAATTTAAAAGGAGTGTGGCATTAGGTAGCTTTTGTATGTACTGCTGGCTAAGCAAAAGAATATAATCCAGAGTTTCGACTAGCTTCCAGAACCTGAACAGGATTTGATATCTTTTGCAGCAAGTGTTTACGACTGTCATACTCTACACTCTCCTTGGGCTTCTAGAGTTCTCCGGGGCTCAGAGCAGCCTGTAGACTTGCCTCTCACTAGCTGAGACAGCTGCAAGGTAATGAATGTGGCTTTGGAGTCAACTCCTGATTCTGGGTTCAAATCCTAATGCTACTACTCAATAGCCCTGGATCTTCAATAATTACACAAATATAATGAATTCAGTTTCTTTATCTGTAAAATAAGGTTGTTAATACTGATACTCTTCATTTGTCTAATCAACCAACATATTTTTTAGTTCCTCAAGGACCTGACAATTTTGTATGCATGTTTTAGTGTTAAGCATATTAAATACGAATGTATTTACTTATTTATTTTAAAGATTTTATTTATTTATTTATTTATTTATTTATTTGTTTATTTATTTATTTATTTATAAGAGAGAGCAGATACAGAGGGAGACACAGACTCCCCACTGAGCAGGGAGCCGGACATGGGGCTCAATCCCAGGATTCCAGGATCATAACCTGAGCCAAAGGCAGACTTTTGACTGACTGAGCCACCCAGGTGCCCCAAAAGAATGTGTCTAAACTGGAGATGGATGGTGGTGATGGTAGCATGACATATGAATGTACTTAAGGCCACTGAACTGTGTGCTTAAAGTGGTGAGGGTGAAAATTTTTGTATTATGTGTATTTTGCCACAATTAAGTAAAAATTTTTTAGAAATGTTTATCTAAAGAACCCAGCCTGATCCTGGCACATAGTAGATACTCTGTAAACATCCACTGAGTTAGAGAGTGAGTGGTGACAAGGAAGGGCCAGAGTGTTTTCTCTTAGAGACAAGTACCCTGGCACAACCAGGCCAGTCAATGAGAAGAAATGGCCTTTTCTGTATAGTACAAAACATGCCACCAGGCCCACAGATGGAGGAAGGCCGCCAAGCCTTCTGTAAGGCATATCCTGACTTCTTGCTTCAAGTTCAAGGTGGCCTAATGGAACTCCTTCCCATTTCTCAAATATCATTCTGGAGTACATAACTGAACAGCCTCATGAAGGATCCTAAAAGCAGTTTCTGGAATTCTGTTTCAATTTTCAGAATGAAGACAGGCTTTAGGTAAAGACTAGCAGGCAGAGAATAAAGTTTGGACTGCTCAGGGACTACTGGATCAAACCTTTGAGGTCAGTTCCTTTCTGACAGAGAATTGAGACTCTGGGATTATTCTAAGTGGAAGATGAGGAACACTCATCTTTCTTTTTCATTTTCCTTCTATTTTTCTCTTTGGGGGGAAAAGGGTGAAGAATGAAGGAAGAATTGCCTTAAAAAAAAGAAAAAAACTCAGGTAGGAGTTATGGATAACTCCCAAGTACCTGTGCAAATGAATGTGATTAACTTTGCTACTCCAGAAAAAAATTTTAATCCCAAAGTCATTTATTTTGGCTTTAGAATAGACTAGCATTTGTGTCGGATTTTCCTGCCTAATTACTTTTTGCTTAAGCTTATTTTAAAATTGTTTTAAATTCCTTTAGTGTGACAGCCTAGGGAAGTGGGGAGTGGGGAAATGGGCCACAGAGTGGATCTGAACTAGAATTGTAGCTTTCCTATAGAAAAGCTTCCTCATATGCTGCCAGTGGGAGAGCAAAATTGGAATCAGCTTTCTGGAGAACAATTTGGCAAAATATTTTTTAAAGTCTTAAAAATATGCTTACTCTTTGATCCAGTAATTCCACTTCTAGGAATTTGTCCTAAGGAAGTAATCAAATAAGCACACAGAAATATCAGGACAAGGCACTCACCATAACATTTGTATCGGCAAAAAACAAAAACAACCCCCCCCAAAAAAAACCCCAAAAAACAAAAATTTTTAAAAAGAGTAAAACTAATGGAAAACATTGAATACTATGGAATTAATTAAATAAAGTATGCTCCTTTCTCCAATGTGTGTAGTCCTATTGCCAGATTGTAGACTCTTGAAACGTTTACCACATCTTTCTAAGTGAGAAGGAACATAAAATAGTGGGCACAGTTTGAAACCGTGCCTAGATACAGAGAAGGGTAGGTGAGTAGCTGGATGGATGGATGGATGGATGGATGGATGGATGGATGAGGGGATGGACTCCTATCGGGAGAGACACATTCTGCAGTATTAACTTTGGTATTGCTGAGCGGTGAAATTGTGGCTGATTTGTATTTTTTGTGTGTTTTTCAGATTTTTTGCTCGAACATGTATTGCTTTGTAATTAGAAAAGCCAACGCTCATAAGGTAGACTGAATGTATGTGCTTAAGGGTCACATTCATACAAGGGAATTATCAGCAATCATACTGAATACATAAAATCAGATGTACCATAGGTTAAATTATGTTCCCCAAGAAAAAGAACCATATTCAGCAAAAATCTATGAAGGCGCAATTAGAGTATCATGTGGGTGTCCTATTTTCTGATCCCAGCACTAGGAGGTAGACTCTTCTAGAGCTAGGAGTACTGCAGTTTTGCCAAGCTACAAAGACTGGTGGGTGGGTTTTCTGTAAATTATGTGTAAAGAATGTTCATTGTCCAGATAACACTAGAAGAATACTGGCGGCATTTAAAATTGTTCTTAAGTGTCTGAAAGCCCCCCCACACACACTTAAATTTTGTACTATGTCCCCTTCCTTATCTCATTATCATCATGCAGAACTCCACATCTCAATGGGGAAAGAGTGAAAACGTAAGGGAAACGGCAGACGACCATAAACCTTTGATGACCTCAAAATAGCTCCTGGCTCACATTTTCAAGAACTCTGCTTTATATAACCAGCTGCAGGGAAAATTTGTTCTTCACTGTTTGCAGCCTCAGCTCTGTACACATGATGGGGTGCTCTTTTATTTGCAGTTCCTAAATTCCGAAGACACCATGTGGCTTCACTGAAGGAAAACCCTTGCGGGTCTTGGCTCCCCTGTTGTCTCAGGTCAGATGGAAAAGCCTTTTGTGATTAACTCGGCCACAGTGTGTCCTTTGGTATTTGGAACTTCAGTAGGAGTTTTTATTAGTTATCCACATTTTGAATGCTGACTCAAATAAGCTGCCTATAATGGAAAAAGCAGATAAATCTAGCCCTCTTGATGCCAAAACGAATCCCCCATTCTGCCACTGGCTGTGACCTTGAGCAAATTCACTTAACATGTCGGGTCCCAGTGTCCTCACTTAAGAGAGTGTGGTGCCTTCCCATCTAACTACAGAAGGCTGTTCTTTGTCAGCCATGAAGCTTGGTACCAGCGGGGAACAGTGACTGGTCTCTAAACACACTACCTTCTCCCACTTTGTTTCTGACAGTTTCCCTATGCTGCCCCGCCTCCCCAAGAACCCGTGAAGACTCTGAGAAGCCTGATCAACATCCGGAAGGACACACTAAGACTTGTAAAGTAAGTTCCCACCGGGGCGGAGCTTGGGCCAGGTTCTGGGTACAAGATCCAGAGACATGGGAAGCTGTTCCTGGCAGACCCAGAGTCTGGAGTCTGATCCCCGGGCCTCAGGGATGTGACCTGCCTTGGCACTGATGGAGCAGCCCCCCGCCACCCCCCGCCACCCCCCCCACCCCCCGCCCGTCCATGGAGTTTAGATCTTCCCACATCTAGATTATTCAAAACTTGGCATCTGTGTTTGTGAAGGACTTTTCCCTTTCCTGGAAGCAGTCCTTATTATCCTTGTTTTATTATTTTTTTAAAAAAAAGAAGAATTATTGAGGGAAAAAGTAAATCTTGCAGATGCTTCAGCAAGCCTAGGGAAAAATGGGATATTTGAAGTTGGAATATAAAGTCCTTATTTTTATTGTTATGTTTACTCATCACCTCATGTGTCCTTCCTCTGAGGAACTTGTGCTTTCAGCTGGTTGGTTAATCATCATCATCAATATTATTATCAACACTTGCGTTCTCTGTGTAGGCTCTAAAATAGTGTAATTTTGACACCGAGGCTGCCCTCCAGATAGTACGCCAGTCTGCTAATGCGCTCATTGGTCCCCTGGGAAGACAGATTTGGCTAGGGCAAATCACAGGTCCCAGATATTTCTAAATGGACAAGGAAGATGACTCTGAGTCCATTTTATGCCTGTATAGGTCAGTCCTATTTGCATTAGGAAGTTTACTTCTCTCTACACATTGTTTTAATACTTTATTAAGATACAACTTACATACTGTACAATTCACTCATTTAAAGTGTACAATTCAGTGGTTTTTAGTATATTCAGAGTTGTGCAATCATCACTACCATTGAAATTGAGAACATTTTGGGACACCTGGGTGGCTCAGTGGTTGAGTGTCTGCCTTCAACTCAGGATGTGATCCCGGAGTCCTGGGATTGAGTCCCGCGTCAGGCTTCCTGCATGGAGCCTGCTTCTCCCTCTGCCTATGTCTCTGCCTCTCTCTCTCTCTCTCTCTCTCTCTCTCTCTCTCTCTCTCTGTCTCATAAATAAATAATAAAATATTAAAAAAAAAGAAATTGAGAACATTTTATCACCCCTAAAAGAGATCATAAACTCATTAGTGATGACTCCACATTTTCCCTGAAACCCTCTTCTAGACCTAAGCAACCACTGATTTACTTTCTGTATTTCTTCTTAACTTTTATATTTCATTTGTCAAAGCAGAAGTTTTGACTGCTTCTCCAACTATTCCCCTAGCCCTGGAGTCTGCTCTGGGGGCTAGGCGGCCATGGAGGTGCTCTACCAAGGAGCAGCCTGCAGCTGGCACTAGCCCTCCCTAGGGTAGTTCCTCCTCCCTGGGGCAGTTCCTGTGGCAGCAGAATGGATTGAGGCTCCTGAGGTCACTCTATGCACCTTGTTTCTTTAATCACACATGGCCTGATAGCTATGGCTCAAAGGCCTGAGCTGCAGAGAGGTCCTGGCCCTGGCCTCTGAGCCTGGCAGCCTGGCCACAGCTCCAGCAGAGAGCCAGCAGAACCCCACCTGAAAGCCGAAAACAAGCTTGCTTCCCAGCTCTGCAAGCACCATGCTCACATAAGTCCCGAGCTTCAAGTTTCCCATCTGTAGAGAGCGACACCACACTTCACCTTTCATGGCCATGGTCAGAATTCCAACAAGATAATAGGAAAAACACCTGCTATTCAATAACTGTTAGAGTGAATGGTGTTCTTGCTGTCTTTTTCTGAGATTATGGGAATAGGGTAGATTCAGATCCATAGATTTCCAGGTAAAGATGGAGGATTGAACATCTTTTGCTTCCAGCAAAAGCCACTAAAAGCATCAATCCAAAAGAACTGGGGAGATGGGAAAGGAGCTGCACCAATGTGGTTTAGGGACTAGAACAAAGGCAAGTGTTAAATAACCTAGCAGACCCCGGAGTCAGAATCCTGAGCAAGCAGAAGGAAAAGCCAAGAGTCACCCAGTTGAACTGTTGCCCCTAAAGGCTCAGGAATTGGCAGTATCAGTACCTCTGGACGCCGAAGTGGATGGCTAAAATGAAGAGGATTGGCAGGAAGCCTTTTGAGGAGGCCATCAGATCCCCTCCTTTAGGCCGCACAGCCAGAGCTGCCCTCCCCACACCCCGATGGAAGGCTGGCAGATGATTTTCTTTCTTTTTTTTTTTTTAAAGATTTTCTTTATTTATTCATGAGAGACACACACAGAGAGAGAGAGAGACAGGCAGAGACACAGGCAGAGGGAGAAGCAGGCTCCATGCAAGGAGCCCAATGTGGGACTCGATCCCGGGACTCCAGGATCACGCCCTGGGCAGAAGGCAGGCACTAAACCACTGAGCCACCCTCAGTGGCTCCCCTGACAGATGAGTTTCAATGGAAAAGTTAAAACAAAGACTCTGGATTTGGGGGACCCAGATACAGCTAAGGTTGATCTCAGTACTAAAAGGGGGGGTACACTAAAAATCCAGGTACACTGGATGCTGAACCTTCCAGCCTGTCTCCCCAGGCCCTCATCCAAAGAGAGGAACGCTGTCTCTGAGGAATTGGAGCCTCCTAGATGGGAAGACCAAAGAAATGGGCCTTGAAGATTCCTCCAAAGACCCTACGGAAGCCCAGGGTCCCCATACCACACCATGCACGGAGAGTTCCAATCAGGGGTTTTAAATTTCTTTTTTTTAAAGATTTTATTTTGTTTATTTGGGAGAGAGAGAGAGCATGCAAGCAGGGGGAGGAGTAGAGGGAGAGGGAGAAGGAGACTCCCTGCTGAGTGCAGAGCCCAACACAGTGCTCATCCCAGGACCCCAAGATCATGCATGACCTAAGACAAAACCAAGAGTCAGACACTCAAGCAACTGAGCCACCCAGGTGACTCTGGGGTTTTAAATTTCTTACATATGAGCAGACAACCAAAGATTCTTAGATGTGTAAGGATGCCTATACATGAAAGATAGTGGCAAGTGGCAGTACAAATCAACAAGGAAAAAAGACTCAGAAATTAAGAACATGGTAGCAGAAATGAAAAAGTCAATAGGGTGAAGAAGGAAAAGTTGAAATATTCCAGAAAGTGGGGTGAAAAGGTTGAGATACAGAAAACAGAAAAGGAAAGGTAGAAAGAATAGAGTCCCTATGTACAAAGCCCCACATCCAACTAATGATTCTAGAAAGAGAACAGAGAATATAGAAGGAAGGAAGTCATCATTAATGACATAACTAATTTTAAGAAAATTTCCCAGAACCAGAGGGCCTGAGTTGCTAAATTGCAAGGACCACTGGAATGCCCACCTCAATGGATAAGGTGGACATCTTACATCAAAGGAAAACAGGACCAGCAATTGGAATAGCTTCTTGAGAGCAACACTAGAAGCTGAGAGATAATGTAGTAGTACTTTCAAATGGCCTTTTAGAAGTATTTATAACCTGGAACTCTTTACTCAACCAAATTTTCAATGCAGTGTGACTATAGAATAAAATATCTCAAAAAATTTATCCCTCCAACACATCCTTTTCCAGGAGGCTAGTGGGGAAGGGGGGCCCAGCCACAATGAAAGTGTATCATGAGGAAGAAGACAGGAGATGCAGGAAAGAGGTAGGACTCCCCAGGGTAACAGGAGAGGGTGGCTCTGGGCGGCTGTGTGCAGGGAGAGAGTGCCTGGGGTCTGGAGGGGACCTCTGCAAGAAGACTAAATGTACAGAGCACCCAGAGCCTCTAAACACAGAGAGATTTAACCAGCCAACTGAGGGCTAGGGTTTGGATCAGTGAGAAAGGACACAGAAAACTGAGCAACTGAGAAAGGAAATGAGCATAAACTCCCAAGAAAAACTGATGTAGGAAAATAAAAATAATCAGAGATTACTCTGTGGCTAAGCTGGGAATCACATTAATATAATCGCAGTAATGCAGACACAAACATGAACTACCAGAATCATGATGTAGCTCATTATTCGCTGGGGTGGGGTGGGGTGGGGGGTAGTTATATGGGGCAGCGTGGTGAAAGAGAAAGAAATCTTGGCTCCCATGGTAGAAAGTCAGTGGATAATGCCTGAAACTGAAAAGTCAAGAATCATCCAGCATGTTCTATAGAAACATGCAGGTAAATGCCAAAATGAGCAGCTAAAAGAGGTAGAGATGGTCTCTGAAGAGGAGGAAGAGGAAGGGGCCTGCTGGTTTTGTGACAAGCCTTGTGGAAACTAGGTAAACTATGATTAGTAACTCTGATTACGGGGGGGGGGGGGGGAAGCAAGGTCTGACCAATGTACAAGTGTTCATTGTAGCTCCTCGAAGTTATCAGATACCACCTAAATGCTCCACAACAGTGGTCCTGAGGTATTTGGCCATCATTTGGAATGAAGATGTAGGCCTAAGCCTGTGGCCATGGAGAAGAGCTCACAACGAATCAAGTTAGAAAAAGGAGAGAGAGAGGGCACTTGGGTGGCTCATTTGGTTAAGTGTCTGCCTTCCACCCAGGGCGTAATCTCTGAATCCTGGGCTCGAGCCTCATGTTGGGCTCCCTGCTCAACAGGGCGTTTGCTTCTCTCTCTGTCTCTCCCTCTGCCCCTCCTTCCTGCTCATTCTCGTTCTTTTTCTCAAATAAATTCTAAAAATCTTTTTTTAAAATAGAGATATGGGACGCCTGGGTGGCTCAGCCATTGAACATCTGCCTTTGGCTCAGGGCATGATCCTGGGGTCCTGGAATCAAGTCCCACATCTGACTCCCTGCAGGGATCCTGCTTCTGTCTCTGCCTGTGCCTCTGCCTCTCTCTCTCTCTCTCTGTCTGTGTCTCATGAATGAACAAATAAAATCTTAAAAAAAAGTAAAAAAATGAATTTAAAAATACTGATTTGCAATCCCCAAAATGCTGAGTCTTTGTGGTTCTCTAGGTGTGCCGAGGAAGTGAAGACCCCTGGAGAAGAGGCCAGCAGAGCTAAAGTCCACTACAACGTGGAGTTCACCTTTGACACTGATGCTCGGGTGGCCATCACCATCTACTATCAGGCCACGGAAGAGTTCCAGAATGGGATTGCCAGGTAAGAACAAGAGCCCAGGGGAGCCGCATCCTTCCCAGATGCGTGAGAGTCCACGCCTTCCACACTCACCCATGGAAGAAAACCTTTTTTACCACCAGGTGAGATCTGGCTCCTGAATTTGGATTTTCTTCTGCAGACCCCCACCTCCTCACCTTTCCCCTTCAAATCGTGCCATCTTGTGCTGTGGTAGATGGCACCAAAACCTTTCATTTCATCGAGATACTATTTTAAAAAAAATCTATTAAGCTACATTTCTGTGGATATATGGGTGGAATAGATAAGTTTAGTGGCCTGACCAAGCAAGAGCAAAGGAAATGGATTATAAAGGAAATATTTTCTTTCCTTTTCTTCTTTATACCTAGAGCCTGTTGATATTGGGACCAGGCATGGGACAGAGGAAACGGCCCATCCATCTGGACTAGATGCTGACTTTTGCTTTGCTTTCCCTCTTTGCTCAACAGCTATATCCCCAGAGACAACAGCCTCCAGTCGGAGACGGTGCACTATAAGCGAGGGGTGTGTCAGCAGTTCTGCTTGCCCTCCCACACCGTGGACCCCTCGGAGTGGGCAGAGGAGGAGGTGAGCTGCCCCCTGGACGAGGTGACAGGCTGCTGGGAGGAAGCACAGGACCAGGTTCCTCATGGAGACCTAGAGTGGCCTAGGGCCTCATCAGGACTGCAGCCAGCAGTGCCCGGGCTGCCTGGATGCTTGGAGGCCATGCTCCCCTTCGTGCCCTTAAGCAGATGGACCTAATGTCGTTCATTTTTCTGCTCCCAAGTAGCCCATTCACCTCAGATACTTGGAGAAAGCTGCGTTCAAAGAAATGAACCTGCAAGTTAGAGGGCTTTATAGCCACGAGGCTTTAGAAACGGTGGCCTCCATTAAACAGACTTAGTTGGTCACGAGGTTGATGAGTAAGAGCAGAGATGAAATGAATGCTTCTTGACGACACCTCCCTCTCTGGTGGACTACTGTGCCATTTCAACATGTTAAGTCTTTTTTCTTTTTTATCCCTCTTCTTTGTCTTCAGCTTGGCTTTGATCTGGACCGAGAGGTTTACCCTTTAGTGGTCCACGCCGTGGTGGATGAAGGAGATGGTAATGGCACCTTCTGTCTTCTTTTGCTGTACACGTTGCCCTTTTGTGGTGCACAGGCCTGGCAGCTACTGTGGCCCTGGACCAACATGCCCTCTCTGTGGTGTCCCGGCAGGCAGTCTCCTTAGACTGACTAGAGCAGCACTGGGTTACAGAATGCACCCCTTCTCCTGACAGCCCAGAGCGTTAGTTTGCCAGTTGCAGGGAATCCGGGAAGGTAAACGGGCATCATGGTGTGATGTTGGGCTCTCCTCTTCATCCCTATGCCTTTATTTTTTTGTTTTTTCAGAGTATTTTGGCCATTGCCATGTACTGCTGGGCACTTTTGAAAAGGTGAGTAACTTTACAGGGCCTTACTTTATTACATTTAACTGTGCAGGGCCATGTGCAGTCCTGTTAGCTGGCTGCCTGAGCACAGCAGGATGAGTCCAGCTCGGAGGCCAGGGTCCCCTGTGGGGGGCTCCTTCCGTTTGGGTCTAGTTCCAGCCCTGCTGTCAACTTGCATAACCTGCAGCTCCCAAAGCCTTGGTTTCCTCTTCTTAACGTGGAAGGGTCCGACTGGGTACTTGGAAGACCCCGCGGGTATGAGGAGTCTGTAATCGCCCGCAAGTGTAATTGAGAGGAGTAACGAGAACACCTGGTGCCTTATTGCCCCTCCTTCCCGGTCATAACTGTCCTTTTTCATTTCAGCACACTGATGGAACCTTCTGTGTCAAGCCCCTCAAACAGAAACAAGTGGTAAGTATTTGATGGCCAGGGGTCTTTGGCGTCCCCCCACCCTTCTTTTTTTTTTTTTAATCTCTCTTTCTCTTTTTTCCTTTTTGCTAAGCACCCTTCTTTCTCTTCCATCCCCCTTTTTTTAAATCAAAGAAAAGTAAAAAAAAAAAAAATGGTTTTGTGTTAGAGACTCTGTGGGTGGCCTGAAAGGAATACTGATTTTTGGTGTCTTTATTGTTCCAGAATTGTTGGTGTTGAGGCAGCCACTATCTGAGCAAAGGACTTGAGAAATGAAAGGACAAGATTTGTCTCTTGACATTAGGTTTAGGGAGAGCTTCTTTTATTCAAAATGCCAGGGTGAGAAACATTCCAAACTAAAGGATAAAGTGTTGGGCTCCAATTCAGAGCCAGTTAGGGCCCTTGGCTTAATTCATCCCACTACTGCTTTTCTAACATCCCAGGTTTGCTGGCCATCTGCCCTCTTCCAGAATGACCAGCAAGTTATGTGTATGTCTGCTTGAAGTCCTAACCCCTGCTGTGTGCCAGCCCTTCTTTCCCACTCTTGCAGGGGTGGGAGCAGTCATGGAGACTGAGGAGGGAAGAGTAGTGCCAGTGGCATTGGTAGGCCCCCCTGCAGATGGGTGATGTCTGAAATTCTGCATTATTCATTCATTGGAGTTAAGTGCTCTCCCCTCTTCATGAGGTCAGTAGCAGTCAATAACACCTTAGTATGAATTTGTTGATAATATCCTTTCCAATCTAATCAATCAGTAGGTTGAAATAAGTTGTAAGAGGGAGGGCAACCCAGGTGGCTCAGTGGTTTTGCGCCGCCTTCAGCCCAGGGCATGATCCTGGAGACCCAAGATCGAGTCCCACATTGGGCTCCCTGCATGGAGCCTGCTTCTCCCTCTGCCTGTGTCTCTGCCTCTCTCTCTCTCTCTCTCTCTCTCTCTCTCTCTCTGTGTGTGTGTCTCTCATGAATAAATAAATGAAATTTAAAAAAAAAAGAGTTGTAAGAAGCAGAGGAGAAAACACGTCCTGAGCCCAGGGAAGGCCAGGCCTTGGTGAGTTGTCTTGTGGAGAGGCCTCATTCTCTAGGACAACTAGATAGGATGGAAAGGCTAGGGTAGCTCAGGGTAAACAGTTTATCTATTTTCCTGTTGTTCAATTGGCATTAGCAACAGAGTCTGTCAAGCTGGATCGTGAGATATGAAATCAGTGACAAGCTAGGTCTTAGGGGAGGGGACCAGTGAGACAGGTGAAGCAGAAGGTGGAATGGGCTCACGCAAAGAAACAGGAAAGGCCCAGTGTAGGGCAAGTGGGCATTAAAGTTGGGATTTTAAGGAATAGGGCCAGGAGGGGTCCCTGGCTGTCTGGGCAGTGGGGTGGCTCGTGCAGGTGGAGGGGCTTAGCCTCCCCTTCAAGGTCCTACTGTTCCTCTATACTTGTAATGTGTTCACCTCTTTCCCCTGCCTGTTTCTTCTCCTCTCTTTTTCTTTTCCATTCCTTTATTAATTTTTTTTAAAGATTGATTTATTTATGCAGTGCCAGGGTGGATCAGTCAGTTAAGCATCAGCTCTTGATTTCAGTTCAGGGTCTTGGGATCAAATCCACATCGGGCTCCGTGCACAGTGTGGAGTCTGCTGGAGATTCTCTCTCTCCCTCTTCCTCTGCCCCTCCTGCTGTTTGTGCTCGCTCTTTCTAAAAATAAATTAATTAATCTTTAAAGAAAAATAAAATATTTTTTAAAAAGGTTTATGTATTTACTTTAGAGAAAGAGAGAGCAAGGTGGGGAGGGACAGAGGGAGAGGGAGAGAGAAACTTTAGCAGGCTGTTGGCTCAGCACTGAGCCCCGTGCAGGGCTGGATCTCAGTACCCTGAGATCAAGACCTGAGCCAAAACCCAGAGTCAGATGCTTGACTGACTGAGTCACCCAGGAACCCCTCCACTCCTTTATTTTTGTAAGGTCCACACTTAACTTCTATTACATTGTTAAGGCTCTTATTTTGATGAATATTCCTCTACCGTTTTTGCTGGTCTGTGCCTTTCTTAACTATGCTTTCTTAACTATCTGTAACCATGAGCTGCAGTACGCGTTGTACTGTGAACTTTTATGTTCCCTTTTGAGTATAATGGTGGGTGAATTAAACATTTGATTTTCTACACCCCTCCCCACCCCCATCAAAGAGAAAACATAAGTAAATAAAAGCATCCTTTATTTGTCTAGGCCTTTGATTTTTTTCATTGTGAATCAGTAGTCCTTGGTTACCAGAGAAGGTTGAGGGGCGAGTTCCCACTTTCTCTGGGGTGAATCAGTCTGCCCTTGAACTTTGCTGTTTGCTCTTCAGGTAGATGGTGTCAGCTACCTCCTTCAGGAGATCTATGGAATTGAAAACAAGTACAACACACAAGATTCTAAGGCAAGTTCTATCCAAAATTCTGGATGTGCTTTTCCCGGGAGGCAGAGAGAGAAATGCTCCGATAAAGCTAGGATCTAGGGATTTAGCCTGCCAAACTCTGGAATCAGTTTGGTCCGAAGAGGGTATTTTCTTCCTCATTCCAGATGCTTATGCTTATATCACTTTGGAAATGAAAAGCATTGGCAGGTTTGGATTAGTTCCTCTGAGAGCCCTGGCCACTCGGTTACCCGGTAGGGTTCTCCCTTGGCCCCTGCCCTTCCCTGTGTGGTCTCCCAGTGTTTCGCCCCAACACTCTGAGCCCCCGCAGATGAGCTGGAGATAAACAGCTCCCAGAATAAGAGAAACCGAGTATGCGAATTCACTTGCTAAACTGTAAAGTCCAAAGTGAGTGTCAGATTTTGTTCTTCCTACTTGTCTCGGCTCTTGGGGCAAGCTGCTTATAAAGAAAATAGAGGACGCTAGGGTCTTTGTATCACTGGCTACATTTCTGTCTCCTGGGACAGGTGGCTGAGGATGAAGTAAGCGATAACAGTGCTGAGTGTGTGGTGTGTCTCTCAGATGTGCGGGACACCTTGATCCTGCCCTGTCGCCACCTCTGCCTCTGTAACACGTGCGCTGACACGCTGCGCTACCAGGCAAACAACTGCCCCATCTGCCGACTGCGTGAGTCCCAGAGCCTCAGGCCCAGACCCCACGGGAGGGTCTGCAGACTGACCGGCACCGGGAGGGGGGCTGTGGTTTCTGCCTGGGCTCTTGTTCACCCTGACTTTGGCATCAGGGTGGTCTGATGACCCTTTTCCTCCTTCTAGCCTTTCGGGCACTGCTTCAGATCCGGGCCATGAGGAAAAAATTGGGTCCCTTGTCTCCCACCAGCTTTAACCCCATCATCTCATCCCAGACGTCTGACTCGGAAGAGCATTCGGTAAGTTGGGCTGAGCACGGGGACTGCCCAGGAAGCAAGCGCTCTGGTCTCCTTGCTGGCTTTTTGCACCTTTCATCCTTCTTTACCTGACTTTGCAACAAGTAATTAAACCTTGGCACGCTGTAGTATTTAGTAAGCTGGCTGAGGTCATGTTGTATTAAAACCAACCAGCATTACAACGGAAAATTGGATACTGATCATTAAATTCCTCTTTTCCTCCCTGGGAATTCGGCATTGGCATCCAGTTAATATTTACCCCGCCTGGAATAGTCAGTCCCCTTGCAGCTTCATCCCAGTGGGAACTCCCCCCAAGCAGGAACAAGGGGTGATTATTTTGTATTTGAATACAATGTACTGTGTTTATCCAAGTCCTGGAAAAGGTAACTTTTTCTTTACCCTGTTTCATGGCTCCAGCAACAGGGAACCAAGTGGATGACATAGTTCACTTCCGTGTAGCTGCCTCCGCCTTCAGATCCACACACTGGTAGAGGAGGGCCTTCATTCTGTATGTGGTATTAGCATAATTAGTTAGCTATTTAGGGAGGAAAAATCAGCTTAGCACTTCACTCCTTACCAGATTAACAAATAAATTCCAGATGGAGTAACTAGTTAACTATATTAAAGCAAAGCAAACCAAACATTAAAGACAGAATAAATTCTAGACGATTCTTTAGTTGACTTTCAATGGGAGAGGATTCTCTAAGCTTAAAGGCAGAGGGACATTACCAAAAAAATGTGTAGATTTTACCACATAAAAAACTTTAAAATTCAGATGTATAAAGATTAAAATTAAAAGGCAAACAACAGGGCAGCCCGGGTGGCTCAGCGGTTTGGCACCACCTTCAGTCGAGGGCGTGATCCTGGAGACCCAGGATCGAGACCCACGTCGGGCTCCCTGCGTGGAGCCTGCTTCTCCCTCTGCCTGTGTCTCTGCCTCTCTCTCTCTCTCTCTCTCTCTCTCTCTCTGTGTGTGTATTCTCATGAATAAATAAATAAAATCTTTAAAAAAAATAAAAGGCAAACAACAAATAATTTAAAGAAAAAATATCTTCACATTTATATCAGAGGAAAAGCTAATAACTTTGCCATGGCTCCTATGAATCAAACAGAAAATAGACAAAGGATACTTTTAAAAGTTCTCAGAAGAGGCTGTTTAGTGGGTTAAACAATCTTTTTTTTTTTTAAGTTAACCACATTAAAAACCCACAGATGCAAATTAAAATGAGATACCATTTTTCACCTTTCAGATTCTAAAGCTTTTTAAGGGAGACTCCATGAAGGGTACCTGGGTGGTGCAGTTAGTTAAGCATTGCCTCTTGGTTTCAGCTCAGATCAAGATCTTGAGGTCATGAGACAGAGCCTTGGATTGAGCTCAGCGCTGAGCACAGTGTCTGCTTCAGATTCTCTCTCTCTTCCTCCTGCTGTGCTCCTTCCCTGGTTCACTTATACACAGGTGCTCACTCTGTCTCTCAAATAAATAAATAAAATCTTAAAAAGAGAGAGACTATGCTGGCAGAGAAGCAGTTAAAATAGGTTCTTTGTACTACTTATAGGATTGTTGGAGAAACAAAACAGAATAGTTATATACATCAAGAGCCTTAAGAACATTTATCTCTGGTAATCTAAGATCAAAGAATTTATTATATTTATTTTTAAAGATTTTATTTATTTATTCACAAGAGACAGAAAGAGAGAGAGAGAGGCCAAGGGAGAAGCAGGCTCCGTGCAGGGAGCTTGACATGGGACTCCATCCCAGGTCTCCAGGATCAAACCTTGGGCTGAAGGTGGTGCTAAACCTCTGAGCCACCCGGGCTGCCCAGATCTAAGAATTTAATACCAAGAAGACAATCTGAAAAAAAAAGAAAAGGTTTGTGGGAGCATCTGTCTACTTGCTAGATGAATGTTGCCCAATTCACGAATCATTTAATAAAACCAATTAAATCTTCAAAAAAAATAAAGATTCGTGCACAGGGATATTCTTCAAAATGTGGTCTGCAGTAGGAAATTTTGGACGCAGCTAAATCCCCAGCACAAATAGAGTAAGTAGGAAACATGGACTCTATGAAAAGGGGACATGTATGAAAGGAAATACTTATGTTTGCTGACATAAGCAGGATATAAAATTGTTATTTACAGAGTACAACTGTGTAAATTGAGCAGGGAAAAAAGTTGGAGGAACACATACCAAAATGGTAATAAAAGTTTTACTTTGATTATTGATTATTTCCACCCCTACCCCCCTTTTCTACCTTTAATATTTTTTACCTTTTAGTGTTTTGAAAGTTTCCTATAATGAACATATATTTCCATTATAGTTAGAAAAATAAATATTACAAGGAAGAAGTTTATCTGTAGGGATGCCTGGGTGGCTCAGTGGTTGAGCATCTGCCTTCTGGCCCGGGGCATGATCCTGGGATCCAGGATCCCCTGCAAGGAGCCTGCTTCTCCCTCTGCCTCTGTCTCTGCCTCTCTGTGTGTCTCTCATGAATAAATAAATAAATCTTTAAAAAAAAGTTCATCTATAAGTGGAATCTAGGACTGTGTGTTTCTTTGACATTTTATTATCCTTTGGCTTATTTTACAGAAGCTCTTCTTGCCAGATCAGATGTAAAAGAAAACATTTTTTTCAGATTAGAGTAGGAAACATGATCGTGCCATAAAACAAAGAGTACTTAATTATGTTTCAACCTGTCTCTGATTCCCCCAGTCCTCAGAGAACATTCCACCAGGTTATGAAGTGGTGTCTCTTCTGGAAGCTCTCAATGGGCCCCTCACCCCATCCCCAGCGGTCCCTGCACTCCACGTGCTTGGAGATGGCCACCTCTCAGGATTGTTGCCCTCCTATGGCAGCGATGGCCACCTGCCCCCAGTCAGGACGCTCTCCCCGCTCGACCGCCTGTCTGATTGCAGCAGCCAAGGAATCAAACTCAAAAAGAGTCTCTCTAAGTGAGTGGTTGGTGTTCAACAGTGTTTACCCTGGGTTCCCTGATGATATGCTTTTCTTCTGTCTTTTGCCTCCTCGGTACTGGCTCACGTCCTGGGTCACTGGAGCAGTGTAGACCCTCCAGGCTGTTCCCAGCTTGGTTTCACTGAAGACCTGGGGCTACCCCTCAGGCAGGAGGTTATCCCATCCTTTAGGAGAGGGAGATAAGGTAGCATGTGGGTACTTCGGAGAATCCAGGCAGGCAAATCGCAGGTGTTCTTGGGTGGGGGGACGGGGTGGGGAAAGAGGACATCCCTGGGATCAGGGAACCCCATGGTGGGCACCGCTTAGTCTAAACAGTGAAGGAACCCTGTGCTCTGTACCTGTACCTCTTATGCATTGAAACCCAATTGGGCACAAGTCCTGAAAAGCTTTCTGTGGCAGAGTTAAGGAGCATGTTTTTAGGTAAAAATATTGAGACCCTAAAACTGTCAGTGTTTTTTTTCCCCCAGTCCAGACCCAAGGTATTGAAGGAGTTCAAAGCAAAACTGCGATTTTCTGACCCCCAGAAAAGCTCACTCCCTTCTTAGTGTTCTTTTTCAACACGCCCTCCTTCAGAAGACCTGGGTGTCCCCCACCCAGCCCTCTGGGTCCTCTTCCTCCTGTGAGAGCAGGCTAATGAGAGTGCAGGCCGGTTCAGTTCTTTACAGGGATACTGGCTTCAGATGCTCCTCTCCCTGGACTTCTGCAGGTCTGTTTCCCAGAATTCTTCTGTGTTGCATGAAGAGGACGATGAGCGTTCTTGCAGTGAGTCAGACACCCAGCTCTCTCAGAGGCCATCAGCCCAGCATCTGGAAGAGGTAATCTCAGTCTCCATTTCTCGGACGTTGGATGGCGGGTACTTTTGTCTCACCAGCCTCTCCAGGTCCATCTGCTTTCATTTGCTCCTCAGGTACTATGGAACATTCTTTGAGACAGGAGCCAAAGCTTCATTCCATTCATCCTTTCAACAATATATTGAGCCTATGTTATGTGCCAGGCACTGTTCTGTACGCCAAGAACAGTGGCAGAACTGTCTCTGTATGGCAGTTAGCCAGGTAGATTGGAAAAGGCAAAGATGATAAAGTGGCCCCTGACCTTGGGAGCTCGGGGTCTAGCTGAGGACCAGACATACATACAACTAACAGCACTATGTATAGCACATAGTTGTTGTTCAGTATGTATTTGTTGGATGAATGAATGATTCTTTATTTATTTTTAAGATTTATTTATTTATTTGTGTGAGAGAGAGCGAGAGTGCTCAAATGAGGGGAGGAGCAGAGGGAAAGAATCTCAGGCAGGCTCCCTGGAGAGAATGGAGCCTAATGCAGCACCTGATTCCATGACCCATGAGGTCATGACCTGAGCCGAAACCAAGCGTGGATGCCTAACCAACTGAGCCACCCAGGCATCCCTGAATGAATGAATCTTAGCTATAGAGAATGAGTGAATATTAACTATAGAGAACTGCCCCCCACAAAAGGACAGTACGGTGCTGTGGCAGAGACACGAGAGATTATGTTATGTAGTGAAAACCAGGGAAGTGTGGTGGAGGAGTAGCATATGAGCTGGATCTTGGCTTTTTTTAGACTTGTAGAAAAAAGTGAGAGAAGCATTCCAGGTGGTGAAGCAGTCCGTGCAAAGGCACAGAGCAGAAGCTGGGGCTCTGAGCAGACCAGTGGTATGCAAGAGTGTTGCCCACAAAGGCCCATCTGACACGGTTGCAGCATGGTCCCCCAGAGAGCATCTGAGGCCTCGGGATGGCTCCGCTGGCCCAGGCAGGTGGGAGTGCCTGAACTCTCTGGGGCACCTGGTCAGCTCTGTTGGTGGAGCTTGTGACGCTTGATCTCAGGGTCATGAGTTCAAGCCCCATGTTGGGTGTGGAACCTACTTAAAAAAAAAAAACTCATGGAGCAAAGGGTATGGGGACAGAATCCCCATCTGCCTGGGAGAGGTGAGGATACTGGCCCAGGTGGCCGATAGCTGGGTGTCAGGAGTGGGTCATGAGGCAAAGGTAGTGTTTGTGTGAGGTCCATAGAGCTGGGACTAACCCGATATCCAAGTTAGAGACGCCTTGCAGGCAGTGAGGCCTCTGCTGGTTTTGTGTTCTTCAGAAGGAAAGTGGTTTATAATCCTGGGAAACCCGGGGTGGTTCCCGTGTCACAGCTGCTGGGTGACCTGTGTCACCTGAGCTGCAGTCTTTGTGTGGCCCTAGCAGATGCTGAGCCTCAGGCAGGATGTGCTGACTGAAGTTTTCACCTCCCCTGGGAGGCAGCCATTCCGGGCCAGGGCTGCAGAGGAGGGAAGACAAAAGAGAAACCGTCCCTGCTCTGCACGCAACGTCCTGACAATGGGGCCCAGGGCCCTCCCAGTGTCCTCCGCCTCCTCCTTACCCAGTCCCCTGCCCTTACACCTTCCTCTGCTTCCCTCCAGGAATGTGATGTAACCCCAGAAAGTGAAAATCTTACCCTGTCATCCTCGGGAGCTATTGACCAGTCGTCTTGCACAGGGACGCCTCTCTCTTCCACAATTTCCTCCCCAGAAGGTACATGAGGGAGCAGGAACCATTGCATGTTCTTCTGCTCAGCCTAGTCCGTGGCACTCCTGATAGCTCCTGTGGGCAGACTTGGGACCAGCAGGTCAATACCGAAGCTGCATGAAAACCAGGCCCCTCTCAGAGGCCAGGGGGTCCTGCTGACAGCTGGGGGGAGGGCTCATCTCACCCCGCTACCCGGCCCTGCCACCATGGGTTCCTTCAATGCTGGGTCAGGGACAAGCAGATCCTTGCTCCCTGGGTTGAGTTCTGAGCCCTAAAATGTAAAGGAGCAGAACCTTGGAAAATTTTAAACCTAGACCTTTATTGGTGAGGCTGTGGTGAGGCCACTGTGGTCCTCGCTGCGTGAGCACGGGGAGGTTGCTCTGCTCCTCGGTCAGCTCACAGAAGCCATACCTGACCTCCCGGCTCCTTCCTTCTGCCCCTGACTCCACAGACCCTGCCAGCAGCAGCCTGGCCCAGTCGGTCATGTCCATGGTGTCCTCCCAGAGCCAGCACTCCCAGATCAGCACCGACACAGTCTCCTCCATGTCTGGCTCCTACATTGCCCCTGGCACTGAAGAAGAGGGAGAGGCCCTCCCTTCACCCCAGGCCGCCAGCAGGGCCCCCTCAGAAGAAGCAGAGGTAAGGGAGGAGCACAGTGATTGTCTTTGCTGCTTTGTGCGCTGCACACGCGTCCAAAGTAGCTCAACCTAAGGTCTGCCAGGGATACTGCCAAGTCCCCTGCTGTGCCCAGAAGTGCCCTGGAAAACAAGGTAGGGCCGTTGAATCAAAGACTCCCTCATGTCTGACTCCTGTTTGGTGCCACTTCTGTCCCAAGGACTTGGTTTGGATTTGCTGCCCTGTGGGCTGGGTAGGAGAGCAGTGATGTCTGTGCCTTGATTTCTGTTGCTCTTCCGCAGGTGACACCAGCAGCATCTCCAGACAGCAACTTCATTGGCCTCGCCGCTGAAGAGCAGGATGCAGAGGTACCGCCAACGGCGGGCGCAGGGCTCCCTCCCATCAGAGGGGCTGTTGGCACTGGCGGGGGACACAGTAGGCTGGGGTCTGTTCTGGAAGAAGCCTTCCAAGGTGGTGTGCTTGGCTCAGTTAGGGGCGGGCTGTGGTATAGAGGGAAGAGTAGCCATGCATTCTGGTCGGTGGATGGTCCCTTAGCCCATCGTACTGGTCACTGTGTAAAAGGTGTGGAGTGAGTCCTAGAGGGAGCTCTTCCCATCCAGACCCTAGACTTGAGAATGTGATCATCCTCCGTTCACTTCGCATTTACTCAGAAGGACTGTGTCACGGGCACCTCCTGGCACTGGAAGACATAAAGACCCCAGTGACTTGGTTTTGGCCTCCACCTCCCCCTGACTATATATATTCATCCAGGGGCACCTAGCTGGCTCAGTCAGAAGAGCATGCAACTCTTAATCTCAGGGTTGTCAGTTCAGGCCCCACGTTGGATATAGAGATTACTAAAAAAATAAATAAACTATATATTCATCCAGGAGCTCCATGGCAGGATTACAATTCAGCATGAGGATGCCCTGGTGGAGATGTTCAGGAAATGCATGAAATGTTCAGGTCACAAGGAGGGCACTAGAACTTTTTCTTTTTTTTTTTTTTTTAAGATTTTATTTATTTATTCATGAGAGACACACAGAGAGAGAGAGAGAGAGGCAGAGACACAGGCAGAGGGAGAAGCAGACTCCATGCAGGGAGCCTGATGTGGGACTCGATCCCGGGACTTCAGGATCAGGCCCTGGGCCAAAGGCGGTGCTAAACCGCTGAGCCACCCAGGCTGCCCGACTAGAACTTTTTCTTGAGCGTGATGCTCTCATGGGAGTATCTGGAGAGAGTTTGGGATGCTAAGGAATTTCTGGAAGTGTTATGATCATACTAGCTGCTTTTTCATTTGACATTTATTTCCACCTTCAAGAAACAGTATGAGATAAACTGTTGCCAAAGCTATTCCTGAAATTCCCTGGGTACGTCTGTAACAGGCCTCAGACCTGGTCCCTGCGGGCAGACCATGCCTCCCCAAGCAAAATCTGTATCTTCCAGGCCTCCTAGGCTTCTCAAACACAATGGACAATGTATGCTATTGACGAAGGCCCCAGTGTGAGATACCATTAGCCCAGTTACTTCTGTCTTTAACTGATCAATATATTCATTTTACTGTTTTTATACTCATAGCACCTTCCTTCTGTCCTAGGGAAATGATGTTATAGAGGAAGAGGATGGATCACCCACCCAAGAAGATGGTAAAAGACCTGGTCCTTTGCTCCCTCTTACTAGATTTCTTTCCTGGGTATTCTTTAATGGATAGAGAAAGGGGTACCGGTTATGACTTGGTGGCACTACTCAGTTGTGTGGCTGTTGGGGAAAGGTTGTCTTCTTGATGGACTATCAGAGCAGGCAGGGTATCTGAGGGCCACAGTAGGTCTTCCTGGCTCTCTCAAGGCCTCAGCGCCAAGGATGTATGATGAAGCTGCTGCAGAAGGCACACAGAGAGCTCTGTATTTGCGTGGACTAGGTTCTGAAGCTTCTTGGGCAACCCCCATCACCTTCCTTCCCGCTTCCGCTTTTCAACTGAATCCCTCAGAGCTGCTCTTGGCAGTTTTGATGTTTAGCAGCAGCAGCAGCAGCAGCAAAAACAATTTTCTTCACTTGGGAGGAAGGACTGTTAGGCATTGGTTTGGTTTTGCTTTAGCAAAGATGGCAGCTGATGTTTCAGTAGCAGAGGGACCGTAGGGGCCAGCGGCCACAGAGAAGGTGCGAGAAAGAGACATCAGCCGCTCAGCATAGACAGATCTTGGTAGGCTATTGTAATGACTTTCTTTGCTGTAACTCAGGCCTCCGTTATATCTTCATATGGAAATGTTTTGTCTCCAGGAAGGCTGGGACAGAAAGGATGATCTACAGAGCAAGGAAGGAGGGAAGTGGAGTTGGGGCTGGGAGAGCCCCCCTGGGAATGAAACACCACGTGCTCCAGGAGCCAGCATCTCTGCCCTGTGCTGCTCTGAGGTGCCTCTCGTAGAAGGGCACCTCCAAAGCAGACCTGGACCCCAGCCTGGATGCAGATGTCATCCTAGTTGCTTCTGCTTTAGCGCTGGCCGTTGCTTGGGGAGTTCAGGGGTGTGCATGCTGGCCTGACCACTCTCACCTGACCCAGTAGCCCTGAAGGAGGGCCTGGCCACCAAGGCTGTGTCTCTGCCACACTTGCACGCCAGCCCAAGACAGGGCCGGGTGCTTCATTGACTCGGTTGATGCCTTCAGTGCTCGGGGTTCCCAAGTCACCCTCTGTGATCGCTTCCCCCCTATAGAATCTTTGCTTCTGAAAAATGCAGGGTGTCGGGCAGTTTCTGCCTGACATTCCATAACCCACACGATGGATTTATGTTTTTTCCTCTCCCTTTCATCAAGAGAAAACCAGAGGTTTGGGGGAAGCTAGAAAAAAATAACATCTGAAACCTTCCCCTTCCATGTCTGTAGGTTTCTGCTCAGACCCTTAAAACATACTTGAAGTAACAAACTAAGTTTCATAGGAAAATAACACATAATTTTGTGAACGTGGTGATCCTGAATAATATGCAAAATTATGGAACCTGAGACCTTTAGTTTTTGTTTTATGTATCTATCATTTTACAGAGCCTCGTGGTCATAAACACCCAATGTGCCCTGGCAGACCCAGGCAGGAGCAGAGGCAGCCTCAGTGGCAGCTCTCCCTCACATCCCCCAGCCGCGCCCCACGCACCACGCGGCTCCCTGTTGGGCCCACACCCTCCCTGGTGGTCCCTACACCAGCTGGGAAGGGGCCAGTTCAAGAGACAGGGCAGCACAGGGCAAGAACGCAGACAGGCCCACACAGTTTGATTCAGTTCGATTCCTTTATTGTCCACTCTTTACCCACTTAATTACTGTCTTTTCTTTAACATATGATTTGATTTTTTTGTCTCCATCCTTAAGATTTTTTTTTAAGGACAGCAAAGTAGAGAAAAATATAGCCAGCCCCTCTCTAACTGCGTTAACTCCGTTACAGGCCAGAGGACATGCGCATTTCTAGGTATGGAGTGTGACAATAACAATGACTTTGGCATCGCCAGCGTGAAAGCACTGGACAATAAGCTGTGCCCTGAGGTCTGCTTACCGGGTGAGTGGCAGCTGCTGAACATGAATTTGGTGGGAGATGCTCCCCTGCTCGCACCCCTGCTCTCACCCTGGGACACTCATCTCCTGCCCTGCCCTTCCTGCAAGAAGGCATGGGCTGTGCTAGGACGCTGGAAGCCAGATGCTAGAAGGAAGTGAGGAGGCCTCGGGAGAGCCCCTGAACTTTGTGCAGAGAGCGAACCCTGCTCTGAACAAGACTATTAGGACAGGAAGACGGGAGTAAAATGCCCTCTCCTTCCAAATTGGCCTGCTCGCGCCGCCCTCCACCCCGATCCTGCAGGCCCCATGACAGGTGGCCTGGTCTTGTTTTCAACAGGACGTTTGAGGCAGACCCCATCTTCAAGAAGGTCTTGGGAAGATAGCCTGAGTCCTTAAAAAGGGGATGTGTAGCTCCTCGGAAGGAATTTGTTTAGTTAGGAGCAGGGAGGAATTTGAAAGCCTACACGGTTTAGATTAGCACATGGCTCTGTGAGGCAGTGAGCTTTGGGTTACGAGTCTCATTGTATTTTTTAGACTTGGATCCCAAAGGAGAGGTCAGGAGTCAAGGGTGACTATGCTCCCTGGAGCCCTAACTTTAAATTTAGTCAGGACTATCACTATGCCCCTTGCTCCTCCTGATACTAAGCTGAACCTGAACGCAGGAACTGTGTTAATCACACTGTGAGCACTCACTTCCTGCTACTGCACATGGTCATTCAAGGGCTCTGCAAACAGCTTCCCTAAAGCCAAGTCTTGCCCAGGTGGACCAGGTCAAAAACGCCCTCCTGGTTTCACAGCAGAGATTGTCATCCACACTGTGGTGTTTGTAATCTCTCCAACATCCCCTGAGATGAAGACTTATTTGAACTTCAGAACAGCCATGTCACATCATGGGTCCAGTGCTTTACTCGCTCAGCGAAGCGGCTAGAGGCATTGGAGCGGCGCAGCCTGGTGTGGTGGCCGCTCTCCGTCAGCCTGTGAGAGACACTGGGCCTCACACGCCTGCGTGGCCCCGCACAGGCTGGTGGCAAGGAAGCCATAATTCCTAGAAGATGCTTTCTCCAGCCTTTCAAAGGCCTCTCTCCAGTTGTTTTCTATTTAGTGTGTCCTGAAGATACTGCCCAGGACGCTTCACGTTCAGTGAGGCCAAAAGATGCCATGTCAGTCCTCCTGCTTCTCCCGCCTGCGGGTGGAGGAGGGAGCGTGGACCCAGTCAGGCCTGGACTGGAGCTGTGGGGCCCGGGCACACTTCACTTCCTGCCTTCCCACTCCTCACCTCGCGTCCGTCTGTCCATTTGTTTTTCACGTCTTTTTGCCACACGTAAATCTGTCTGTCTGGTTTGTTTCTTTTGAAGCTCATTTATGTTATGTAGACTCCGTATGGAAGTTTATGTTCACCGCGCCAGCACTGTGCCCCCACCCCCACCCCCGGCCATGCTATGCCCGACACCAAGCTTGCTGGGCGTGCGCACATCCCAGAGGCTCCTGCTTATGATTCCAGTCCTAACTGGCAAGGGCCTGTATTCAATAGATTTTCTGAGAAAAAATATTTGCGAAAATATATAAATCCCTGCTCCACAAAAAATGGGGATGCTTCTGTGGCAAGCATTATGAGAAGGATTTGCATCAGCATCCCATGTCACTATTTGGGAAAGATGACATCTCTGTCCTCTCTGCCCTGTGTCTGTGGCCGCTCTATAGCAACCATCCTTTTGCTAGGCTCCCATCTCCCTTGAGGGGCTCCCCCGCCCACCCTCATTTTTCGGCACAGGGAGCTGCTGGGAACTGTTTTAGCCAAACATGCTGGTGGAAATTGAGCTTGTTTCTTCTGCTTCCTCCTCCTCCTGACTCCTTCCAGCCAACCTGCTTGTTAATATTTATTCCACTTATGGGATTGCTCGGGATGAGGAAAGAACCCCTGGGGTTCCTTATGGTGCTCTCAAGAGCCAGCGGGCTGAGATGAAACTAGGTTCACAGTTCAGGCTAGTGGTGCAACCAAATGCCTATGACCCCTGTTGGGAGAGTGACTCAGGTATAAGCACTTGAGATGTCCCCTCGGACCCTCCCCAGAGGTCACAGGGCTCTTACAGGAGATGGAAAGCGCGTCTGCTTTCTTGGTAAAATGTTTCTCTGGTTCCGCTGTTAACATCACACTGGTAGCAATGGGATGGAGAACTCTCTGGAAGCATCTGTTGGGTTAATAACAGGAGTATCCACTCTGGTAGGTCCTGTGGAATAAATAGGCTTCCTCACGCTCAGCTGTAAGTTCAAACCTCCATCCTGTGACTGAGACACCTGCAGGCTGGCTCGGCTCCATGTTCTGCACCCATCAGGACAGCTTCTCAGGCACTTGGTCTCTGCTTGAGTCTGTTTTCCTCTCCAAGTGGCGCCACTCCCTTCATGGAGGGCTGAGGAGAAGCAGAGCCGAGGAGGGCATCCCACACTCTCCATTGTGGCACATGCCGCCCTCCCGGTGCTCACTCGTGCTCTGCCGGGAGACCCAGCTGATGACGGAAGACCATGCGGGTCCCCATCCTCACCACTCTCATCACACTCATGGGAGTGTCACTGAGAGGGCACCTGTGTCCTGCTAGCTAGCCTCTTTTCCCCTAAGAAGCTTCTGAGCCTTCTTAGGCTCCAAGACCAAGGGGGTAGCATGTTCTGAGATTGTTCTAAAAGGTCTCAAGGGGAGGAAGTCTAAGTTGACAGGTACACGAGATGAGCAGGTTAGAATTGTGAGGCCAGGCTAAGTAGATATGGTTCTAAGGAACTGGGTGGAATAGGACACAGGTGGCAGCATAGTGGCCAGGGAACCAGTGATAAGTCTGTGAACAGGTTGTGGGTAGAGTATGTATGTGATGGAAGAAAAGCAAAAATCATTTCGGTTTGTTGGTGGAAATAGAAATATGTTTTTGAATGACCACACTGTAGGAGTGGACATACCCAATGAAACCGAGCAATGCCTACAGAAACCTGAAATTCAGTTCACTCCTCTCTTCAAGCCCCATAACCCAAGACGGAGATGCCGCTAGGAAAGTTTGCACCGCATAGACACAAAGGGAAAATCTAAATTAGGTTTCTCTTTCCACTGGAAACTCTCTGAGACAATCAAACCATTAGAGCATTTACATCTAATCTGTGGCTTGGTGTAGAGACAGGAAAAGGGTGTGTGGAATTCCCCTAAGTATGCTCCCCAAATCTACCTCTAGAGGTCTCTCTGCTCTCCCTTTTCTCCTCCTCTAGATGGGAATTGAAGGGAAGTCACCTTGATCTATCTCCACAAAGGATTTTGAACTGCCACGCTCAAGCTCCGGTGTCTGGCTGGAGGGGACAGAGTGGCAGCACTTGTTCAGGAAGCCCTGTCACCGTGCCGGCCCACCTCTGCAGCCAGTGGAGGGCAGCAGCAGGGTTTTGCTGAGGGCCCATCAGATTCCTTGCAGGGAGAGGGGTACCTCATTATTGCTGCTCAACCTCCTCTCGCCACCCAGGGAAATCAAGACGCCAGGGAGAACACATGCTTCAGCTCTGAGTCTTAAGGCTCTTCCAGAAGGAACGGTTTTTGGCCCTGGCTAAGGATTCTAGAGTGGTGGAGTTGGTAGCAAGGACTCGTGTGAATTCAGAGTCGGGACAGCCTGTTGGTTCGGCGTCTCGTGGCGCGCTGGTTGGCGGCGGCGTGGATTGTATTGTGTGCGTGCGTGTGTGTCTTCTCTCTTGTTCACCGTTTGCTTTTGGTCTCTCCCATCAAACAGCCGCCGTTCCGGAGTCCTGTCCCATAAACATTGAGGACTAGGTATGAGATCTACCAAATTCTATAAGTGAACGAACAACTCTTTGCATTTTGGGGGTTCCTGACCTAGAGGGCAGTCTTGCCTTCTGTTCATCCTGCCACACTCAGGAGTGCCGGCCTTAGAGGAGAAAGCACTTTTGACCCATGTCCCAGACTCCAGGGGAGAGAGATCTCCAAATTCCATCTGGGTGTGAGAGATACCTATGAGTTTTCTGCTTTGCTCACCTGTCTCCCCCAGGGGCCCACCTCCACAGACCGCTATTAGAGCCTTAGGCCAGATTATCACACCAGGACACTTATGGGAAGAAGCAGTTTATACCTACTTAATCCTAGCATTCGGACCACTGGAGGGTCTTGGGCTGGCCCTAGCATGAGGCTGACCTCAGATGTTTGAGAGCAACCCCCTCAAACACAAGCACGGTGAGCCTCGGGCCCCCTGTGCACTCAGTCTGCTCCGTCTGCCCTGCATGAGTCCTGAGGGGCCAGGCCTGCCCCGGAACCAGGGGTTCCTGGTTCACTCACACTGTGGCAGCTGGATAGACTGGGAGGCCCCTGCGAAGCAAGTCCACCTCACCGGGCTGGGGGGGAGGGGTGCCTGTGAAGGCAGGCCATGCGGGGAGGGTCGTGGACCCCATGGAGTTAGGTCTTCACCCAGAGCCTCTGACTCACAGGGAGCTTTGCGCTGCACTGAAACGAAGGGATTGGATGAGCCGGTCTGGGCCAGGAGGGCACTTGAGGGGAGACCCCGGGAGAGATGAGGGTGGCCTGAACAAAGAACGGGGGCTGGTCTTTGAGCACATCTGACAAGTCAGCGCCCACTGCCTCCTCCTTTTGTCCTCACAGCAGTCCTGTGAGGATAGCACTATGCTCCCACTGGATGGGTGGGAGAACCAAGGCTCCCAGTGAGGGGCCTACCCAGGAGCACGCAGCCAGTTGGTCAGGACTCGGGAGTGAAGCCTGGGTTTTCTGACCACAGGCAGACAAATGGGAGGCAGTGATGGATTAAATACAGAGCACCTAGGGCCGGGGGGGGGGGGGGGGGGGGGGAGAGCCCAGGATGGGCTTCCAGCACCTGCAGCTGGTGCTCATCCTGCAGAAGCAGCAGCAGATTTGGGGGAGGACATGAAGTTTAGTGCATGCTGCCTGGGGGATCCCAGGGCTCTCAGGCCGCTGGCTCCTGGGGCAGTTGGTGACCTCAGCAGGCTGCTTGGGGCGGGAGAGATGAAGAACAGCAGGTGTGCAAGAGGGGTGCTGCAGCCATCACACCGGCTCCCCCCCCCCATGCCCTTCTCTCCCTGGCACCCTGCTGGGCTACCAGCCCCTTCCTGCTCCCCCCCTGCTCCCCGCAGCAAACACTGACACTGGACCCAAATTAACACACTTTTCTCACCCCCCTCTGCTGCTTCCTGCCCTGGCAAAAACCTCAGCTAGACTGGGTTTCTTTGTCCTCCTCCACCATGACATACAGGCAAACTTCAGAACAAAGAAAGATACAAGAGTGGATTGTAGGGCAACTAGATACCTTTGCATGTTCCTCTCCACAGGGGCCATGGCTGTACTCAGGACAGCAGCAGTCCCCTGGCCCCACGGGCGCCCATCTCGCCCTGTTCTCCCTCCCTCACTGTGGCTCACACACACATGGGAGTTTCAGATAACACGCATCCTGCTAGCATCCGTGCCGAACTCCTGGGCTGTCCTGCTGGAGATGCCATCTGGACCTGGCCAGGGGTCTGCTTCTATACCCTTCCTTTTCTCTTATCCAGGGAGCTGGCAGGCCGATGACAACGTTGTCAGTCGTCGGAACACACGGCACCGGCGCTTATCATCTGGCAGCCTGGAGGACCTTGAGGACAGACCCTGTGTGTGGGGTCCTTTGGCCGTCTGAGAGCCCCAGCCCTGCAACTGGGCTCCCTCTTGCCCCCACATTCCATCCTGGCCTCACGGGACTGCTGGCCCCCTGGGTGTCCTCAGCAAGACCACGAAGACTACATCCAGACAAGCGCTGGACGTGGAGGTCAGCCTGTTCCTGCTCCCAGCCCAGCCTCCTCCATAACCATCACCCTTCCCCTCCCAGAAGGAACTAGAAGCCTCCTCTCTCCTTGTGGGCCAGAGCCTCTCAATGAACTACAGCTCATGAGACCCTTTGCAGAGACTCTGGAATGTATCCACCTCAGGTGGAGTCGAGGTCCACAGGCTGGTTGTTTCTCGTGCATCTTTTCCTCCCTAGGAGGCATTCCAAGAAGGCCTGGAGTTTTGGCAGCTTCATTACAAACACCCATCGGCATTTTATCTGGTCTCTAGAACATCATAAGCACTTTAGGGTGGGGTTGGGGGATGGCTTCTGTGAGAAAGGAAGGCCATTTTGTCAAGTTTCCCTCAGAAAGCATTAGGAGGAGCTCCTTCTCAAGGAAGGTGGCAACCAAAAGGTTGGGTGAAAAAACAGTTCTTGCTTCTGGTCACAGAGCTAGTCTCCTGTGCCTCACGTGATGTCTGCTTAGGAAGGAGGCCTTGAATCCCAGAATCTCCCAATTATGTGGTCACCCCAGGAGGGTTATGATCAGGTGCATTCATGAAGGCCTGGGACTCCATCCTAAGGTGACTTTTCAAAAAACACATCTTTGGCCACCTCTGTGTGCCAGGCACTGTGTTAGCTGTCTTATATTCTCATATTTCACCACTGCGCCCTGTCAGGTAGTATTCTTATATCCGTTGTCCCTGTCTCCACCCCTTTTTGTTCATAGTTGAGAAATAGGCTGAGGGAGGGGTGGAACAGTGATTCTCAAATTGGTGCCCAGGAGGCTCCCGGAGCCCGCAGAGCTGGGGCCAGCGGTGATCTGAGAGTCTCCCCGCTCCATGTGTTGTCCTCCCCTGCCTTTCTGCTAAGCCTTGGGGGCTGGGGCGGGGGGGGGGGTACTCCTTCATTAGGCTCTTTAGAGATTCAGAAGTATCATTCAAATCATGTGCCCCCCAGCCCTCATCAGCCCAGTGTAGGGCCTGTAGACAAAAGTCTGAAACAGCAAGGCCAGGCTGCAAGCTGTTGGGAGTTACTCCTCTGCTCTCAACACTGGTGTGGCCAGTGGGTTCCACATAGTTCTTGGACAGATGTGTTGTCTACTGGCTTTGGGAAAAGGTGGTCTTTGGGGGGAACATGAGATAGGGAAGCAAAGTTGGATACAGCCATTGTGAGGCTGAGATGCAGTAGAGCCTTAGGCCCAGTCCATCATGATGGCCTGTCTTCGTATTCAGAATTGTTACCCTGAAAGAGTTTTTCAGGGCCATTTCCAAAACCCCAAAGAGAGCCCGGTGCCCAGGGAATCTTTCGCACCTTCTGTGTGGCTTCTTTGCACTGTCAGGTGGTGGTGACCCTTGCCAGGCCCAGTGGTTATGGCTCAGGTCCTGCCCTGGTTGGGGGAAGGCCCATTGTCCTGACAGATGTGACATGAACCAAGCCTGAATCTAGGCTTCTGTCTTGAGTCCTGCCGTGGACTCTGCTGCTTCAGGCCTGACTCCTTGTCCCTTCTTTCCCCCAGCTTTCTTCCAGCCCCTTTCATGTTTGCGGTCGGAGCAATAACCCCACTTCCTGATTTCCTTGAAGTTTAAGCGCCAGGGAATGGGGAGCTTCCCTTAGCCCAGGGCGGCAGCACACAGCCTCCCCTACTCTCCTGGCAGGTCACATTCACAGTGTGCTGTCACCTGAGATGAAGGAGATGCAGGGTAAACAGTAGCCACAGTGGCCAGGAACCCTGAGAGGAAACCATTATCACCCTCTTCTGAGGAGGACCCGAGTGCTTCCTCACAGCACATGCTGGGTCCTCCCTCCAGCAGGAGGCTCAGAAAGATTCTGAAAGGCCTTGGTTCCGTAACCAAGACATGCTTGGGTTGGAAATGGCCCTTTCACTCCTGCTTCTCAGACCCATCCTCCCATCTCTCTCTCTCTCTCTCTCTCTCTCTCCTTTGTTCTCATTTGGCTCGTAGGCAAGCAGAAATATCCCATCCAAAGGAGCCGGTCTTTAGCCTGACCAGGGAACAGGGCAGCTGCCAACCCTACTGCCCCAGTCCATCATCTAGAGACCATGGTGTTAGACGATAGTGACCCAGAGAGAATGGGACGGGCCTGGCTCTTCACCAGAGAGCACAGACTACCTGGAGGCCCGTGGCTCTTCCTGCCAACTCCCGTCTCGGGTCTGAGTGCTGCTATGGCCTCGAGGTGGTGTGGTGATCCTGGCCTCACAGAGTCTTTTTCCTTTTGCCCTTCCTCACCCACTTCATCCAGCAGTTTATGCCCACACCGGGGCATCTCCTGGGCACAGACCCACACACTTTGAGCCGTCTCACCTGGGGAGAGCTACTGTCCCGCCCGCCTGATCTCGGCATGCTGGTTGATCACTTCACTTTAGGACCTGCACACCTGGTGTGTGCTGGTGTGTGTGTGTGTGTGTACTGTTTGTGCCATCTGGGTACCCCTCTCACTCCCCGGAGTACACTCATGGGCACACTACAGTGAGGACATCAAGGATGCAATATTTATGGATTGCTGCATGATTCTTAAAAACGAATAAAACTGTTTACAAGGGAAGGAGAGCTGTTCATTGTACTCTTGGCTTATTTGTAAAAGTTTCTGGCCGACTTTGTCCAGCGCTCAAGTATTTTTACTCAAGAGAATCTAGAAGTGGAGGAGTGGGAGAGGGCAAGGGGTAGAGAAGGACGTGGTCCGGGGTGGGAGGTGGGAGTTGACGTCCCACTCCATGGGCCCGGCTTCCCAGCCTGCCCCCCTGCTCCTGAGAGCACCCTCACCCCACCCTCACCCTTAAACCGGAGAACTTCCACAACCGCAGCTCCTCAATAATTGAAGAGCAGAAAAGCTGGCGGCAGGAGGGAGGCCAGGGGAAGGGACGAGGAAGCCCTGGTGTCCCTCCTACCCCTAGTCCCTGCCACTTCAAAGTTGGGGACACTAACCGGACAAATGACCCTGCTAGGAGAATTCCGGAGAATTCGGCAAGTCCGTGGCTTCTCTGAGTTTCACTCACCCGCTCGGTTTCCTGAGCTATCTGAAAAGGAGGGAGGAGGGCCCTTCCGCAGAAGCCTCTGGAAAGTCAGCTTCCGGGAACCTTGCTGAGTACAGGGGTGGGGAGGGAGCCGCTTACCGGGAAACCCCACCGGCCTCGGGGCGTGGGGGATCGGGGCAGCCCCGCTGCGGACCCGAGCGGCCGGCAGCCCCGAAGAGGCGGACCTGCCTGCGGGCGCCGACGCCACGCTCAGGGTCAGGGTCGGGAGGGTGGGGCAGGGCACAGAACGTGAGCCCAGATCCGAAAGGAAACCCCAGGCCCCCGGAGCCCGCGCCCGCTCCCAGCCTCGGTCGGCGGAGCCGCAGACGCCCGGGCGCAGCCGGGACCGGCAGGGAGCGAGGCGGGAGGGCGGGAGGGCGGGAGGGCGTCGGGCGGGGCGTCGGGCGGGAGCCGCGCGCTTCCCCGAGCCCTGCGCGGGCCTTGGGCGGGAATGCGCGGACCGGGACGCGGTGGCGGGTAGGGGGCTGGGTGGCGCGGGAGCGGGCGGCAGAAGGAGGGAGTTCCAGGAGAGTTGCCGCCGGAGAGAGTGGCTAGAGCCCGCGGTCTCCTTGGAAACGTGCTGACCAATAGCAGCAGCGGAAGCTGTTTATGGGGGCGGAGCGTCGCCATGGCAGCAGAAGAAGCCCTTGCAGCGGCTACTTAATGCCGGTCCCGGGGCCACCGGCGCTCAGAGAGGCGCCGTCGGGCGGGGGGGCGACAAGGGGCGCTGGCGGGGCCCTCGAGCTGGGGACAGAGAGCCGCGGGGGGTGGGAGGAACTTCTTCCAGAACCTTCCTTTGGCCCGGGCTGCGCTCTGAGCCAGGTAAGGGACTGAGCCGGCTGCGAGCGGCGGGAAGGGAGGGTGTCCTAGCAGCCCGCTCTCCCATCCGTCCTCGACGGAAGTGGTGGATCCAGGAGTGACATCTGAGTTTGGGGGACACTTACTTCTCGTCCCCCCATAACTCCTATCCTGTTCCCTTCCTTCCCCGTTATCCCCCATCCTGATATCTCTTTCCAAAGATCAGACAACCTCCCCGTCTCCCGCCCCGTGATACTGCCCTCCTGGGCTCCCTCGCCCCGTATTCACTTGTTCGGGGTCGGGGGGCGGGGAGAGTGTTGAATTCTCGTTCTTGGGGAGAAGGTGGGAGCCTCGGATGCCCCTACCCTCTTCCCTCATTTGGCTACTAATAAAGTCTTCTCTAAAACCTCCGAGAGGAAAAGAGAGACGCGGCCCAGTGGGCGCTGCTTCTGTTACCCAGACCTCGGCCAGAAAAGGTCCCCCCAGCAGCGGGGACGGTGTTAGAAGAGCCCCCCACCCTCGCTCGCACACGCTGTCCCCGGGGGCGGGGGAAGGTGCTCAGCTCCCGCTGTGGTCCCCGGCAGGCACCGCATTCGTATCCGGAGGAGGAGGCGACCCCCGGGTCGCGGGATGGAAGCGCGCGTCCGGGGGGCGCTGTAACTGGAGCCGCGGGAGCCAGCGGGCCGGAGAGCGCGGCGGGCCACCTCCGGCTCAGCCCGTGGATGTTGACCGCCCCCTCGGGGAGTCCCCGCAGACATGGCGGAGAGCTGGCTGCGCCTCTCGGGTGCAGGCGCGGCGGAGGAGGCCGGGCCCGAGGGCGGCCTGGAGGAGCCCGACGCCCTGGATGACAGCCTGACCAGCCTGCAGTGGCTGCAGGAGTTCTCCATTCTGAACGCCAAGGCCCCCGCCCTGCCGCCGGGGGGCACCGACCCCCACAGCTACCACCAGGTGCCAGGCTCGGCCGCGCCGGGGTCCCCCCTGGCGGCGGATCCCGCCTGCCTGGGGCAGCCGCACACCCCGGGTAAGCCCACGTCGTCGTGCACGTCGCGGAGCGCGCCCCCGGGGCTGCAGGCCCCGCCCCCCGACGACGTGGACTACGCCACCAACCCGAATGTGAAGCCGCCCTACTCCTACGCCACGCTCATCTGCATGGCCATGCAGGCCAGCAAGGCCACCAAGATCACCCTGTCGGCCATCTACAAGTGGATCACGGACAACTTCTGCTACTTCCGCCACGCGGATCCCACCTGGCAGGTAGGGGAGGCGCGGTGGCGGCCGCTCCCTCCCCGCGCCCCTCCCCCTTCCCCACGCCGAGGCGGACCGGACTCGGGCCCCAGGTCCGCGTGCCGTGCCTCGTAGGCTCTCAGGCTCGGTGCAGCCAGGGCCCCAAGGGAGGAAGGCCGTCGAGGAAGGACCTCAAGGGAGCCTAGTGCTGGGAACTGGCCCTCCTGTGACTTCAGAGGAGGAGGAGGGAAGGATGTTTAGAGGGCTTTAGAAAGGGTGCGGATCCCGAAATTCATGGGGAAAGCACCTGTCACTCATCCAGTAGACCCAGCCCAAAGACCAGGGCCAGACTGTGTGTGGACATGGGCTCCTAAGAGAGGATGATGGACCAGGGGACACATTTTTGTCCCAAGTCCTAGAATTCCTAGACACCCCCTGGCCAAAGGACACTTTGTCAAGGCCTGACTCCGAGTCGGATGCTGGAGCATCGCCCTTGCCAGGCTCTGCATCCTGTCTGGGTGCAGTTGGCTGGTGGACGTTGGGGGCAGGGGAGGGCAGTGGGGTGTGAAGGCCAGCTGTGTCCCCGTAGTGGGGCTGTGCCTTCCTAAAGTACAGCTGCTGCCCCAGCCCCTCACCCCAACTCCTCCCCAGTTTCCTGCCTCCTGTCCTCCCCCTCCTCCCAGTCAGCCTCCCTGGGGGGACAATTACCTGCGCCAGGTGCTTTCCACAGGGGCTTTCCCTGCCGCACTAGCTTCGTGTTCCAAGTCTCCGGAACCGGCACAGAGCAGCCAAGGGGCCCAAGCCTCCGTGTAAACACCCCAGCCCTGCCAGGGGCCACCACTTGCCCACCACCCTGCCTTCTGGGCCCTAGAGCCCTGTCCCCCAGCATGGTTCGAACAAGACTGTGCACCTAGGAATGAACAGGGTGGGATGGTGACTTGCGGCCAGGCAGACAGGAGTCCTCCACCATCAGGATCAGGGACTACCTAGGGACAGAGGCCCCAGAACGTCCAGACTTTTCCCTGGGGCACCCCCAGGAAGCAGGAGAACACAGTCCCAAACTATTCCACATTCGCTTGGGCCTTGACTCTGGGGCAAGTGCCATTTGTACCCTTAATGAGAATGCAGAGAGACCCCCCCACACACACACCCTACCTGTGAAGCTCAGGCTGCAGGAAGTGGGCCTCAGAAATGAGCGCTGTGCTCTAGGCTGGGTAATTATCAACTGAGGCCTCATAGTCTGGGTGGGAGGAGGAGGCTCTGGCGGAGGCCGTGGGGGGGGAAGGCTGGCCAGCAGCCCACTCAACAAACAAGGAAAGTCATCAGACCCTCCCACTTCATCCCTACCCTCACACCCTGGCTAGCCCAGCACCCACCCACCCACCCACTTACTTCACAAACAGAGAGGGCCGGCCAGGCCCAGGCCGGGTGAGATGGCTGTCCAGGCCCTGGGGGAGCTGAGGCCTTTGGCCAGAGGCCGCAAGCGCAAGCGGTGGGGTAAGGGAGGGAGGGCGGGACGGGGCGGCACTGAGAGCCACCCTGCGGCTCAGGGCTCGGATGACTGAGCAGGCCCATATCCCGGCAACAGGGAACAAAAGCCCCCGACAGCACTCCTGGCTCCCCGCGCCCGCGCCGGTGGCTGGTGTCCCAGAGCCGTGTGGCCCCCCAGGGCCGGCCCTGCCCACTCACCGGCCCACCTCTCTCTCCCTCTCCCCCGTGCCCAGAACTCGATCCGCCACAACCTGTCCCTGAACAAGTGCTTCATCAAGGTGCCGCGGGAGAAGGATGAGCCGGGCAAGGGCGGCTTCTGGCGCATCGACCCCCAGTACGCCGAGCGGCTGCTGAGCGGGGCCTTCAAGAAGCGGCGGCTGCCCCCGGTGCACATCCACCCGGCCTTTGCCCGCCAGGCGTCCCCGCAGGAGCCGCGCGCCGCGCCCTGGGCCGGGCCGCTGACCGTGAACCCCGACGCCCAGCAGCTGCTGCGCGAGTTCGAGGAGGCCACCGGGGAGGCGGCCTGGGGCGCGGGCGAGGGCAGGCTCGGCCACAAGCGCAAGCAGCCGCTGCCCAAGCGCGTGGCCAAGGTCGCGCGGGCCCCCAGCACGCTGCTGCTGACCCAGGAGGAGCAGGGCGAGCTGGAGCCCCTCAAGGGCAACTTTGACTGGGAGGCCGTCTTCGAGGCCGGCGCGCTGGGCGGCGAGCTGGGCGCGCTCGAGGGCCTGGAGCTGAGCCCGCCGCTGAGCCCCGCGGCGCCCGGGGACGCGGACCTGACCGTCCACGGCCGCCACATCGACTGCCCCGCCACCTGGGGGCCCGCGGGGGAGCAGGCGGCCGACAGCCTGGACTTCGAGGAGACCTTCCTGGCCACGTCCTTCCTGCAGCATCCCTGGGACGAGGGCGGCAGTGGCTGCCTGCCGCCGGAGCCCCTCTTCGAGGCCGGGGACGCCACCCTGGCCGCCGACCTGCAGGACTGGGCCAGTGTGGGCGCCTTCTTGTAAGAGGCGGCCCCGCGCCACCTCCGGACCGTGCCCCGTCGGGGCCCAGACTGCTCCCCCCACCCTGGCGCAACGGCCCAGGCAGGGGCCGGGCCGGGTCTCCGGAGGCGCGCCCCACGAGGCCCCCCACCGCCCCTCAGATTCCGGCCCAGGAGGCTGAGAACGGGGCCCCCACCCCCACCCCCTACACACAGTGTTTCATTGATCCTCCTGTCGCCTGCCCAGGGTCGGCTCAGGCCCTGCACTGTGGGAGCTGCACCTGGGGGGGCCCGCCCCGCCCCAGGGCACCCCGGCTTCCATGCCTCTCCCTCTCCCACTGTCCTCCCCAGGTCTCTTTCAGAGAAAGTTCCCAGGTACAACAAAAGCTAATTAGGTGACAGCAAATTAACCCCCGGGAGGCCTCTCCAGGGCAAAGCCTCCCTGGGGCTGGGGAAGGGGAGGAGGAGGGGGGGCTGGTGGGAGGGGGCCGAGGGCAGAGACAGAATGAGGTCGGGGAGCCTGGTGGGCAAGGAGATTTTCCGAGGCCTTGGGGGTCTTCTCCTGGCCCCCTCCCTGGAGGTGGGGCAGGGAGTGCAAATCCCTACTCTTTGACTTGAGGCAGAGCGCAGCGGGGAGGAGGGGCTGGGGGACAGGGGCAGCCGAGCTGCAGCGGGGAGGAGGACAGACTAATGTAGTGAGTGTAGCATAGCTGAGGCTTAACAGGGAGGGGGCAGAGCTTGCTAGAACCTCTGGGAACAGGAAGGCCAGGACGGCTGCATCCCTGCCTGCATGCGCTGGGGGGGAGTGTCTCGCTCTACCCGGAGCCCCTCCACATCTGCGTCCCGCATCCACCCTCCTGCCCTATGGGTCAATTTAACCTTTTTCATGGAAAGTTATTTACAATAAAAAAAAATTTTTAAAAATAAAATTTTAAAAAATTTGAAAATGGACCTGCTTGCAACTTTAGAAAAAGGCAAGGGCCAGTTTTGGAGGGGGTGGGGGTCTTTCTCTTCGCTGGCGGAGGTGGAATGTCTGGGAGGAAGATGTGGGGGCCCTGAGGGCCTCAAGGGGGCCCCCTGATGAACTCCCCATGACCTCTGTGTCCCCAGGGAGAAAGGGGCTGAGAGGTGGCCCCCAGGGGTCCCCTCCAGCCCGAGCCTCAGCACCTCTGTCTGCACAGTGGGGAGAGCTGCACCCACAGCCCTAGGAAGTGGGTGACCGAGGAGGCACAGCCCCCTCCCTGGCCCTGGGGACTCGCAGGGGCCGAGCGGGCCCAGGGCTCAGCTCACTTGTCCCTGACCGCCAGGGCCTGCCCGGGCTCGCCTGCCGGAGTCTGCGGGCCCAGCCTGGGCTTGTCTCCAGCACCACCCTCCCTCCGTCCTCTCCTGGAGGGACAGGGTGTGAGGCCAGAGGGCCCCAGCCTGGCGCGTGCTCGCCCTGCCTGGCGCCTTCCCTCTCAGGGCCAGGGCAGGCTTGAGGAGGAGGAGGAGGAGGAGGAGGAGGAGGAGGAAGGCCACCAGGGAAGCCCAGGTGCCCAGACCCTGCTCCCCGACTCGCTCACACCAGCAAGTGCACTCCGTGACAGAACAGCCGACCCGAGCCCTGATAGGGAAACTGAGGCACAGGAAATGTGTGTGGCACTCTCCCCTCAGCCCAGCTTTGTGTGGAGCCCACCTCTCCACCCGGCCCCCTCCCACACGCGGGGCACAAATGGGCACTGTCTCGCACAATCCTGCCCAGCCTCCACGGACCCCTTTCTCCAGAAGCCCCTTTCTTTCCCTTCTCTCAAGCCTGGCTCGGGGCCAGCCTGGCATTCTCAGGGCTAACTTGCTGCTTTCACTTGCTAATTATTCCAAATATTTCAGGAGGACGCGCACACTGCAGGGCCAGCGGGGATGGGGCCTTGCCAGCCCTGAAGCCAGCCCACCCTCCCCACCGCAGGCCCAGGCCCAGGCCCAGGAGATCTGCCCTCCAGTCTCCCTTCACCCCCCACGTGACTCCTTCCCCCCACCCCCAGCCTTGCTCTCCACAGTCTCCAGGAGAGGGGAACAAGGGGTCTCCAGTCTTCTCCAGTGACCCCTGGGGTCAGGCTCCAACCCTGGACAGAGGGGTACACCCTGGGCTGACAGGTGGGGTGGGGCCCAGGCATTAGCATGTTGGAGGGTCCCTGAATGCATCCACTGTGCAGCCTAACTCAGAGGCCTGCTCTGAAGGGACCTACCATGGGGCTTCACACACACGCACACACGCACACTCAGCGGACAGCATCCGGGAGTGTGGAGAAAGCATGCACCTCCAGCTTATCCCTCAGATCCATCTCTGCCCTGACCCTCAGCTGTGTGGGTTTTTAACAAAGGTGTTTATTTACCTCACATTTATTTATAAATTCAGTGTAATCCCAATCTAAATAGATTTCACACCATTTGCCAGTAAGTTGCAGATCTGATGTCCTAACACTAAATACTTTAGCCTGTATTTCCTTAGAACAAGGACACGCCCCTCTAAGCCTAGCACCAACCCCACAGCCAGGAAACTGGGAACCTAATGCAGGTGGGTGATCCCTCTGACCGCAGACCCCATTCAGATTTGGCAGATTGCCCCACCCCCAGGCTCCCACGTTGCACTGAGCTGCCCTATCTCTTTTGAGCTGTGTGGCTTTGGATCCATGACCCAAGCTCTCCCAGCAGGCTCCTCATCTCCTCTGATCCCCACCTTTGAGGTGAGAAGCCCCCGGAACACTTCATGCTTGAGTGTGGGGATGGCGTCTTCCCAAAGCAAGGAGCCAGCCTCTGTCTCCAGATACGCGCCTTGTCTTCCCTCCTTCCCCCAAGCGTCCTCCCAGCCAGGAGCGTGATGAGGGATGGACAGGAGCTCAGACCTTGGGAGCCCTGCTGTCCCTGCCTCAGTACATCCTGTTCCATGGATAGGCCACCCCCCATGCACACTCCAGTGACTCTCAGTGTCTGGAGAACCTCGGGATTCCCCGAGCCCCACTCTTCCGCAGTCCTGGAGCAAACAGGCCAGGCCTCCTGCAGAGCTGAGGGCAGGACTGGCTCTGCACCCCACCCCCACTCGGGGACCCACACTTGCAGAAGGAAGAGCATGAGCGTGAGCGCTAGGGGAGAGGTGAGCAGGAGTCAGGTGCACTTCCATCCTGGGCTGAGGCCCAAAGGTAAACAGGTGTACTTGGACTCCTGGCAGGGGGCAGTGGGCTGGCCCCATGGGGCAGGCCTGGGCCTGTCAGGGGTGGGGATGTGGCTGGGAGGCCTGCATTAACAATGGGGTGTCAGAGTGGCCCCAGGTCCTGCTGACACAGTCTTGTGGGATGAGGAGGAAAACACAGGTGACAAGGGAGGGGAGGACCCTGGGGTAGGGGCCAGGGCTTAGTGAGGCCACCCATGCCGGGGGTGTGTGCGTGCCCTGAACAGCGTGAGGTGAAGACTTGCATGGAAGCCCTGGGGGAGGGGAGTCACCTTCCTCCTGAGGCACATGTGTCTGTCCCAGTCTGTGGCTCCCAGGTGGGCAAGGTCAGAGCCACCATGATGGAGGTGCTGAGGCCTGGACTTCCCTTGTGTGTCAGGGGCAGGCAGGGACCAGCTGGAGGGCACTGTCCCCCAGAAGCCAACCAGCCTGTGTGGACGGGGCAGGGTGAGGCGGGTGCACATTAACAGGGGGAGGGACAGGGCCAGAGGTCTCACAGCCACCATGGCTCTGTGGAGGCCGTGTCCTCACCCCCAGGCCATTCTGCCCCGCTTCATGCCTCACTCTGGGCACTAAACCCCATCTTCACCCCAGAGGGCATCCCAGTTCCCTTGAACTTGCTTACAAAGAACTGTGGGCCCACGTTGGCGGGGGCAGGCAGGGTGCAGAGTGGCACCCAGACCCTGCCTCAGTTTTCAGCCTCCGAACCCCCACATCTGGGCCCCTGTGGACAGATAACCTGCCTCGCTCATTCCTATGTTCACAGGCTCGAAGACGGCACCCCGCTTCTTAAGTGTTGAATGCCTAAATGAGCTGGCTCGGTGGCTGGCTAAGGGGTAGCAGAACCCCCTGAACATCAGGGCTCTCGGGCGGCTGGGACTGGGAGGTTCCTGAAGGCCCCAGGGTACAGAGGTGGGGTGAAAGTGCTCAGGCCAGGGGTCTCTTTGAGAAAGCCCTATGCCACCCTTCTGGAAACAAGTAAGAGGCCCCTCTGCTGACCCTGTGGGTCGGGCTGGAGTCCTGGAAGCGCCAGCCGAGACTGAGCAGACGTGTGACTGCTGTGAGCCCGGTGAGGCAGGAGAGGGGACCCTTGTAGGAGGAAGGGGCAGAGGAAAGAAGAGGCCCAGCTTTCCCCCCTCCCCCACCGGGGGGCCAGTCCCAGGAAGGAGAGTCACAGAGGGCGAGAGACAGGGCTGCAGTGGACAAACTGGTGCGGCCTTCAGGGCTCTCCACCCCTCGTGACCCCACCCGAGCCCACAGTGTCAACCGGCCTCTTGCCTGTTGTTGGCTCCAGAATGGAGCGGCACCCAGTCAGCTGTCCCAGCTGTCCCCGCGTACCGGGACGGGGGCCATGTGGCCCCTGAGTCTGACACCCCAGAGCTGGGCTATTCGGGGCCTAAGTTGAGGCCTGGAGCTCTGCGAGGAGGCGGGGAGCCCCCAGTGTTTGGCTTAAAGATGCCCCCTGGCCTGCGGGGAACTGGCTGGGAGGCTGGGCCAGGGGCCGGCACTCTCCCAGGAGGCCAGGCAGGGCCAGTTTTGGAGGAGGGGTTGGGGTGTCGGGGGCGTGAGGGGGGGACCTCACAGGGAGCCAGGACTCAGGCCCCATCCATGTTCCCCGGGACTCTCTACGCTCCCTACTTCCTGTGTTGGGACAGAAGGACATTGAGGGTCCCCCAGCCCCGGAAGGAACCCACGTGGGGGAGGAGAAATCACCAAGTAGGCCTGACAACCTCCACACACAAAGAAGTGGGTCAAGAAGACAGAGCAATCTCCGCCCTGACCCCCACGCCACACTTCAGCAACTCTGGCCCCGGGAGCTCTTGCCTGAAGGAAGAGATGGGGAGAAAATCTGATGGGGGAGGCAGGAGGGTCAGTGACACCCAGTTCCACGTAGCACGGACCAGCGAGCTGGCCCAGTGCCCTCATCTTGCAGAGGAGGAAGTTGACCTGTGTGGTCTCATCCCTGACCCTGGAGTTGCCGGGCCCTGCCGCCCGGGGCGAGGGAGGTGGTGCACAGCCAGGCCTGCGGGTGTCAGCGGCCCTCCTGTCCCTTCCTCCGCTTCTCCTCCTTCTCCACCTGCCTCTCTCCTAAACTGTCCCTGACCCACTGAGTTGGGGAGCAGGGGGCCTTGGTGATGCGACCTCTGACTTCACTCCCAGGAGCAGGCACAGTGGCTCCCTCGGGGCTCAGGGCTCGAGGCATCTGTGTCAGGGT